CTCGCATCTGAGAGCGTAGACCCTTGGCTAGTTAAAGGGGCGTAATGTAATATTTCCTGATGGGGCATCCCCTTCGTGGAGAGGGGTTCAGAAAATTTTGGCAAAGCAGCACAAGTTTACGCTATTTTCAGGTTCGAAGTTTATTAATCGTACAGAGTAAAAATTGTAATACTGAACGTATTGAAGTGACCGACAGACTTCTAAAATTAAAGAAAACAAAAAATTAAAGCCACTGGACGCATCCAAGCACCATTATTTCCACAAGAACCGTGTCAGTGCTGCGGTTTACACGAGCTTAAGACGTGGGTCTAAAAATCCATCCTAAAAAAAAAAGAATCAGGCAAGAACCTGAAAAAAGAAGAAAGAACGAGTATCAACACAGTCGACGACAAGAAAGACGTATTCGGGCCTCTTTTTTAACTTTTCTCCCGAATCTGAGCGACACCTCATTGGCAGCATGTGGCAGAGCATTGAGAACTCACGCTTCGCGTCATCGCGCCTTCAATTTTTCAGACGCAGCACGGACGTCCATCAAGTACGAATAGTTGTATCTCTGCGCCGTCGTTAACACGGATCCTTTCCCTCGCTCTATTTCCATGTTGAGTTTGTTTCCGTGTGTCTTATTTGTAATGTTGCTTTCAACTAGAATTGAGACTTCACGACTCGCGCCATCGCGTCTTACATTTTTCATATGCAATGTGGACATTCATCTTCCGAGAATAGTTGTATCGCGTTTACACTTCAGAAATCTTTTACTTTAGAATTTCGAAATAAATTTAGGTTGAGTTTGCCCGAGGTATGTCATGATATGTCCAAATCAATAGTCATTTTGAAAAGAAAGAAATATGTTTAAAGGTCTCTCATGAGGTCTATGAAGTGTGCGTATGTTTCAAAATCGAACCGGCTATCGTTTCTACGGGAGTTACACATTGAGAATGAAGAAGGGGGATGATAAAGCGCCTGTATGTCAACAAAAAGGTGACGAATTTCACAGAAAAGTGTTTACGCTTCAGAGAGTAGTTCTTGGACCTCTGTTCACCACTATGCGTTAAAGCATCTCTCTTTACTCCTAACTCTCTCTTCTTCCGTTCATTTAAGAAATTTTCCGCATATATTCTCGGTCGTAATTTTTTTTTCTCTTCTTATTTTGCTATCTGTCAGAGGGGCGCGTTTTTGGCGCGTCAAGGGGGCGTATCTGCCAATGGCAGATTGGCCTTATGGCTAGTCCGAGCCTGTATTTTATGTCCTACTCTTCCGCTCCTGAAATTAGGGCTGCGTCTATAGTTTATTCTCAAATCAAGTCCCTTTAGTTCGGTGCATTGCTTTTCTTCAAAACCATGTTATTATACCGAAGAACCACCATAAGTCTAGAAAGGTGTCATATTTTTTGGCCCTCTAAAGTCAGGGCTCAACCAGTGGCGAAGCTGTAATCGACTATCCAAATCATCCCTTTTGAAGCTATTGTGAAGTATCGATTATTAAGGTGTTTGTTGCGAGCATTCTGTCCATCGATCTTTTCTATAGATTCAAATGGCATCTCAATGAATATATCGCAAAGCACGCCACGCCACTCGGCTCAACTGCATGTTTACGTAAGACTTAATTGAACTAAATTTTGCAATGAGTAACTACAATTTCTGATTCATCAGTAAAATCATCCATTTGCGTAGTAGGGAAACTAATAGCACATCCACACGTCGGTTTTATAATGAGTTAGAAACTGTAGTTCCTGATAGCAAAACGCAGTTAAATTCTTCCGCGATAGCGAAGAGAGGAGTAAGTGGATTTCTGTATGAGCCATGATCAGCACATGCTTTTATGCGTCTCGAGGCTCATCCCAGCATGCACTTAGTGCTCTCTTCGCTAATGCATTCAAGGGCTAACGTGGAAATAGAGATACACCCGCCCAAAAATTAATTTTATTAAAAATAATTTTAAAAAAATTACGTCCGAAAATTCCCGTTGGTTCTCTCGCATGCTCTGGTATCAGTGACTCAATTTAGCTTTTTTTCCGAACTCAATGACCTCTTTCCTACCCATTTCGCACTGGAAAAAAAGTTCGGTTGAACGAACTGCAGCACGGTGATCTGTTGTCCACCAATGAATTCAGCGCATCAAATTATGGGTGCATATCAATTTCCATGTACCTAATTCTAAGAATTACCGTCGCTAAAATGCAGGGAAAAAGATTGATTTCCCAGAGCTTTGGGGTGCTGTAGACCCCCTGATCGGCCCTGAAAAAGCACTTTTGGAAAGACATTTCATAGTACAGGCAAGTTTTATTTTGACTCTTAGAACACGCGCCCCTGCAATCTGGTGGTTTAACAATTAATCACTCTGTATTACAAAAGATTCGACAACATTCGTTTGGTCATATGAACTACATTTTGCAATTAGGAGGCACAATTTCTGGCCAGGTTTGTCCGTATGTACATACGTGATTTTACGGAAGAATCAGATATTGCAGTTCCCAATCACAAAATACAGTTCATATCGATGGTGCAAGTGCAGAAATAGTATCTCGATTTTTGACAGTTTTGAGTTAGCTGCATAAACATGTTGTTGAAGATAGCTATCTGCCAGCTATAATCGAAACTATATGTATAATCGAAAAAATTCGGGAAGTTACCCGAAACAATAGAACTTTTTTCGCGTATCTTGGGCTTAAGTGCAGAAATACGTATCTCGTTCTGGGACCCCATAGAACTGGGCACCCAGGCTAAATTCGTTTCTTCTTGGGTGTAGAAGACTTCCTGAAAGTTTCATGCTTTTTTCCAGGAATGGACGATTGTTATGCCAATCCGCCCCACTAGTATGAACATTCAGGCGTTGCCAAATTTCTTACGGCAAATCACCAGTTTTCTGGAAAATTTGTGAAGATTTTCCTTCCGATTTTTCCGATAATTTTTTTCTCAACTCCACCTGCGGTTCCTGAAAATTTCAAGGAGATAGTTTCATACCTTTTTTACGGTTTAACCGGTGTGGAGGTTACCCCTGTGCCCCATCAGAAAAGTGTCTGAGGACAATGGGACCCTCAAATTTGGATTCCTTGGAGTCAATTACCTATGAATACACATTTTTTCCGAGTCTCCACGTCAATTTAACGAACTTGATTTTTTTTGAAAGGGGGCTCTGTCCCCCACCTTTAGGGGTCGCAATTTTGGACCTGGATGGGCCGATTTTGGATTTCTTGGTGTCGATTCAAGTTAAAAATTTCCGTACGTTCTGATTCCGATGAAATAATTTCAAAATTTTGACATTAACCCTGACTTTTGAAGTACGGACCCCCCTTTTATCCCCCAAGGGACGCCAGGGGGGCTCTAGGACCATGAAATTCGGATTCCTTGGGGTCGTTTCCCTATTCATCCCCGCGATCCTGGACTTCGTGCGACCCAAATTAACCGAAAAAAAGGCCTGGTATGGTAGGTCTGGGCTACCCTGTATTTTTGATATTTTTGCCAGCAACACGGATTTGACACTAGATGTTCAAAAACTGGTACAAACCTAGCACATACCTTGCAGATAAAGGGAAAACTTTTGTTTTTCTCCTAGGTTACTCTCACTTCGCTTGGTAATGCCCATACTCTCCGTTCGGCAGCTCTAAAAATTGAAATGGCAGAAAATAAAAGACCGAGGAGTTTTCTGACCTTTGCCCTTCCATACTGAGGGTGTGATCTTGCTTTCTACAAATTTTCGGATTTTTACTGCCACTATAGGCTGCCCAAAAAGTTCATTATACGTTAAAAAACATAGAAATTTCGATTTTTAGAGCTGCCGAGTGGAGAGTTTGGGCATTACCAAGCGAAGTGAGAGTGACCTAGGAGAAAAAAAAAAAATTCCCCGTAATCTGCAAGGTATGTGCTAGGTTTGTACCAATTTTTGGACATTTAGCGTCAAACCCGCGTTGCTGGCAAAAATGCCAAAAAAGCCGGAAAAATCTCGATGTTTAGGCTCTGTGCGCGCCGGGTTTATTTTTTTTTTTTTTTTTTTTTTTTTTTTTTTTTTTTTCAAAATCCTCTTGGCTACCGTGTTTTTTCATCACATAGAACAATTTAAGACCGTGCAATATTTGGTTTTGTCGATGTAAAAAAGTAAGCCCCACCCTAAGGTAGGGGTTGCTGAATGATATGGGCATTTCCAATTGATTGCACCGCAATAGGACCGTGTAAAGCAGAAAGGAACCAAGCCACATCGGCTGTCACCTTTAATCGGGCTATTTTATTTTTTTGCATGAAAACAGTTGTGCGAATTTTCGTGGAAATTTCAGCGAATTCTCTGCATATTACGAAGCAAATTCCTTGAAATTTTCCAAGGAATCCGCCTTTCCTCCTTCCTTTTTTGAAAAATTAAATTGCCCAGCTTTTGGCAAATAGCTGATTTGGCTCGGTTTCTTTCTACCGAATGCAGTCCAATTAACAGTGGTATACTAACTCAGTAAATTAGGCTACCCACCTAAATGTTGCGGTACTAGGAAATGTCTGTATCATCCATAGGGTAGTATCATAATTTTAGGGGATAACCCTCAACAAATTTTTTCCACGTCCAAATTGTATCGAGTCTCCTTCAAAAAAGAGGCGCACTTCACTGCATACACGCGTGCATTTCCAACGCACCGCTAGGTGCCCGAAAGCGCGCCGCGTAGAGGTCCGCAATAGCTCCGATACCTGCCGGACTGGACCCGGCAAAAAAGCGAGGAAATAAGGAAGGAATCCTGTAGGAGAGCCTCGCGCCTAAGTCAAAACCGCACACCTACAACGGGATCCCCGCTGAACGTATGCGGTTCTCGCGCGGAGGCGGGTCGTGCAGGAATAGCGCCCCTCATCCGCATCCAGCCACGGTCCCCCCCCCCCAACCCGGGGCCCTCGTAGTATTTCTGTGTTGTATCCCGACACTGCGAACCCCCCCTTCCCCCTCACCCTCTTCTCCCGAGGGGGAAGGGAGGGGCGGGCGGTGAAGCGGAGCTGCGGTGCGCCGTCTGCCCTGCCGCCTCAGTGTATGGACGCGGTCCTCCGTAGCGTAACGCCTGTGCCGTGCTTGTTGTGCTAGTGTTGTGTTCATGATTGTGTGTCCCGGACTTATTTGGATTAATTTAACGCTTTCCTCAGTAAGTTGGGCCTCTTCACTCTCTTAAAATAATGCACATCGCTCCGAAAGAGCGTTATCACCTAGCCGAGCACGGTTTTGCGCGAGGGTTCGCGAGCAAACCCCCGCACAATCACTGATAACGCTTTGTTTATGTTTGTCGTTCCGTATTTCATAACGCTTGGCCAGCGGTTTTGAAAAGTATTGTGGTGTAGTTGTAGCACCGCCGGTGCCTCAGATCGGAATTTTCGGGGCGTTTTGCCTGCGAGTTTAAGGTTAGAGGTTAGGTTCACATCGGTTTCGGGATATTTTGTACGGTGGCTTGTCTGCTGACTGTAGTATTGATTTTACCCGCCGAGTCTCCGTTCAACGCACGGGGCAAAAACCTTTAACTTTTTACCCCTGCGTTCGACGGTAAAGAACTTTTCCTTGTTTTTCCGGCCTTCGGCGGAGATTTTCCTGCCCGTTTGTCGATTGTTTTCGATTCATCGGTTCTCCGAAACTTGCTCCATTGCGGCAGGAGAAGGGAGGATATTCCGCTGATAGGAAGGCGCCGAATGATGTGTTCTTTTGGGGCGCGGTGAAGTTTTTATCTCTTTAATTGGATTGTGTATCTAGAATTTTGGACAGAGGCTAGTGAGATTAAGCTCCTTCGTCCTAAAATAAAAGAAAATATAATTTTATCTTCCAATTTCAAGCGTTCACCGCTATTTTATCGGGGAGCTGTCATGGTTTTGGTTAACAAATTTAGGGTCTTCGAACCTCTCCTCTGTATTCTCTCCCGACTGAAATAATGCAATAAACAGAAATTTGCATTTTCGCAGATCGTTCAGAAACAGGTCTAAAAAGTAAGAACAACTAACTTAAAGTAGAGCTGAAATTTGGGATGTCTAATCAACCCTTATGAGAACGTTCGATGGTTTTTTGCATTTTGGATTTGAACCGAGTAGGGTCGAGTGAAATTTAATCTATAGCATCAGAAAAAGTATTTTCAGTGTCAGTGAGATGCACACAGTACTAAACGGTGCAATTCAAATTAATAAAATTACTTTAAAAAAATAAGAAGTGTGAAAGCACCTAAGACAGAGTGGCACTAAAACAATCCATTGAATCCTTCACGTCCTTTCAAACTTAAGTATTGTTGAAGTATATCATATTTCTGTCGCAGGCAAATAGTGAAATCAGGCATTTTGTCAAATGTCTAAGGCAGATAGTTAAATTTTAACAGTCTACAAAATTTTGCGAATTCATGGCAAAGAGCTCACGAGTTTTCACAATTTTTGGAAAAATAACTCATCAAATACCTGCCAACTCTTTTCGGCTCTTCCTCTTTAATCGCTTCTCATTGTTTTGAATGTTGAAATTCTACAAATTCTGTATTTTATGACATGTTGAAAATTTCAAGATAAGTGTGTGTTCAGGAACTAAAAACCGTTTCAAATACTAATGTATGATGCCAATTATTGTTACCAAGAATTTTTTCTTGCAGGAGCAATGAATTATTAATTTTTCTAAAATTGGAAAATGCATCAGAATTTCAATCTAAGTTAGAATATTTGACTAATTGCCTAGGCATTTGACAAAATGCCTGATTACACTATTTGCCTTCGATATTTTTATATAATTTTGAAAAGTAACTTTACTTCTAGAAATTTGTTTAAATAGGTAACCCCAAACCATAATTATTTCCTGAAATCGTCAAGTAGGTAAAGAAAATTTCTTGTTAACCATACTCATTGGTCTCAGCTTGTATATAAACTTTGGTTAGCTGAGAAGATTCTCTCTCAACGTATGGTTTGATTCGCAAAAAAAGCAAAAAAACCGCGCAGGCGTAGAAGGCGAGACAATTTGGGCATCTGCTTGTGTATATGCTGCATTTTGAAGCAAAAAATCATTTTATATCATTCATCCTCGGAAGGCAAATCGATTTTTGACTTATTTATGTGATCATATTCTCTTAAAATAAATCATCTCCTTATATTAGATTTTAGGATTAAAACTCTGATGATTTTAAACTCTGAAACTCGAGGTTTTCAGGGTGAATTAGTTTCCGTCTTTGAAGCATCGTTCTAACAAATTGACTACATTTTGCAATTTGGAATTGTAAATTCTAGCCCGGTTTAAAAACAACGTCTGTGCCATTAGTTTCCCTATGCACATAAGTATTTTTCCAGTCCAAATAAAAATAAAAATACATAAGGGAACTGAATCGGAGTATAATGTAACCTGCAGTGTTCTTTTACCTTAAAGTTTTAGGAGTCAACTAGCCCTTTAGGCTCAATTTTTAAGATTTCGAATATATTCATAGAGGCAAATTGAATATTTGCCTTTTTATCACGGCGCCTTTGGTCAAGGATTGCATTCAAAGCAAGGGAACGCGCGAATTTCGTGGGCCGCCGGCAGATTTCGCCAGGAAAATGCAGCGTATGCAACCCGGCCCACGGCGGAGTTCAAATAATTGCATGTTAGGTTCGAACCCAACTTCGTATATTCTTCCATTGTGATTCGCGTTGTTTTGAGTTGAAAGAGCGTTCCGTCATCAATGACGTTTAAAAGGTTAGATTTTAGCGAAATGCTAAGCAAACCATTAACATTCTTAATTCATTTACCTGAGCACCTGACTTAAAGCAAATGCAAACTTGAAATTCGGATGTGGAATTTAAATGAAATCCATCAATCAGATGTTGAATTGTGATCCACAGCCGTTCTTTGCACTTTCCTTAATTTAAATGAAGCCCATTCTATGTGATGGGAGAAGTACGAGAGGTGGATACGGGGAACGTATCTGAAGTAAAATTAAACTATCTGTCGGTGGTGATCACAATTCAGTGAATGAAATGCCATGAATATTGCCCTGGGAAATTTTGTTTGTGGTGCAGTATCTTGGATTCAATACCAAAATTTCTACCATAATTTCTGCTGATGTCTTTTAAATTTTGAAAGTTTGGCAAAAATTGGATAGGCTTAATGTATAAAAAGCACCATATATTTTGCTCTATTTATTACATGCATTATATTCCTAAAACATGAAAAATTCTTACTCACAGCTAATCAGCCCAACCTTGTCGAAAAATTAGGAAATTTTTTTCTTTTTGTCAGAGACTTTATTTCTTTTCGTCCGGCGGGAAATTTAAAATAAAAATCCGGTTTTTTGGCCGTTTTTGTCAGGAAAATCGGGGAAATGTCAGGGATTTTGTCTCTAAATGCCAGACACCCAGAGTTATTTCCCGTCATCAAAGCTATCATTCCCGGCTTAAAAGCAACTATCTCCACGTTATACCAGGAAATTTATATCACGTGAAAATGAAGGCATAACGTCAAGTTTTTCTTCTGCTTTCAGCCCATTATTCTGCACTCAGTTTTGATTCGCTCGTATTATTCCCTAAGTCCCAGAGTAAAGTGTCAGTCGACTCTTTATCTGAGGCGAAAATTCAATTGAAACGTTTCGATGGGTGTAATCCATTTTAATTAAAAACGGAAGTTCTAATTTTCACTGCTTTGCGCGATAAATGGCGGCTTGCGTGCCGTCGATAGTCGAGATTGATTTGAAAACCTGGACTTGCCATGAACAGCACTTTAATTATTGGTCGGTCATACTTCGAAAAAAAACGCGTATTTTTTTTTTATTTGCAATCATAATCCTTTCATTTTCTACCCAACACAGTCTGTTGATTGAATCGTCTAAAATTGTCTGGTTTGGTGGTGACAGCAAGTTTCAGTCATCAGGAACTTTACTTTTATCCAAAACTCTCAAATGTCCAGCTTGAAGAAATATTGATTATTTTTTGAAAAATATTATTATTGTTACTGTAACGATCGATTTACTGTCGAATTGTCGGGTTAGACAATCGTCGGATTTTCTTTTGTTGGAAACAAGTATCGAAAGGTTGAATGTTTATTTGTCGCACCATACCAAGTGCCAATAATGCTTTCCCCCTTAGAAGAAAATAATTTTGACACAAATAAAAATTGAATGAAGTCTAATAATGCATAAATCAAAAAATTTGAAACGCACAATGGTTTGTGCGTTTTGTGACTTAGGTAATTCAGTTATGGCATGCTATTTTTCACGTATCAAAGGTGAAACTTCCAAACCACGTATCTCGTTTACGGTGATTAAATATCTCCGCTCCTGTTTTATTATTTTAAATGAGAACAAATCAACATCATTCTTTGAAGTTTTCTCAGAGTAAGCTTCGTTCATGCTTAAGTGAGCTAAGGGCGTAATGTTTTATTATGATCTGACAATAATTATACAATTATCTTCTGGCAAATGTATGACTTGTGTCAGTGTTTAGAAGTGAAATCTGAACATTAAATGTTGGTCATAATTCGTCATGATGTTGGTTCGGTCTCGTTTTCAAAAATATAACAGTGGCGGAGGTTCCCAAACACCGTAGCCGAGAGACTTCTTTTTGCAGATTCATCGTCAATATGTTGTTTCTAAACCAAGTCGGACATTGCAGTTTCTAATTGTAAAATAGATCGCATTCAGCTAAAAAGGATTCAGCGGAATTACAATGCTTTCAAAATCATGCAACTTCTCTTTTTCTTTTAAAAATACTTATACATCTATGTATAGTATTAAATTGACGTTCCTTTAAAATTATGAATATTTTGGTAGGAAGCCAAAACCATTTGCTTTTCTGGGAGATGTTTCTAGGTAATTATGAAGAGGCATCAGTTTTACAACACTGTAATCGCGCTGGTTCCTTTTTGCTGAATGCGATCCAAGTGTAGTCTAGTTGCCATTTGGATTGAATTTTGCAAAAAGGAACCAAGAGCATTCCTATGTCGCTAGGATCGTGCAACTTGCATTCTTTGCAAAAAAAAATCACTAAGATCATGCCAAAAATTTAAATTACAAAGGTAATTTTCGTCTTGAATTCATAGTTTATTGGGAGTGAAGATAAAACTTGTTCAGATGACTAGTTTATATTTGCAAGGTAAAAAAAGTTGCACATTCTTAGCAACATTGAAATGCTCTTGGTTCCTTTTTGCAAAATGCAATGCATTTACAACTTTTTCGTTGCCGACTTTTCAATGTTGCCCAAATGTTACAGGTGGAAGGAATTCGGATTAAAAAATAGGTTAATATGGCAAGTAGGGAAGGTAGGCTGGAATTGAATGGGATTTGCACTTGAGGGCTACTTGAAATAGAGTACCTATATTGAGAGAGTATGGCCACTGAGCCCCAAGGAGAGGCTTAGGACCCAAAAATGGCGGTGCTTTGTTTTGGTTTTTGTGGATGGGAGGGAGGTCATTGCCAACTTTTGACGGTTATCACCAACCGCACTTGCTGCCAACTTTACAACATCTAAGATAATTTTCCTTAAAAATTGCACACGATTAGCCTTAAAAATATGTAAAGAAGTCGCAAGAGTGCATTTGAGTAAATTTCTCGTTACGATAAGCAAAGAAAACTACATTTTGAGTCATTTTGCATTACATTAATTTATGGCGTCCGCCATTTTTGGGTCCTAAGGGCTCTATTCAGCCTAAGATGGCTGAGCCAGTCAGAGGTGGTAACGGCAGTGGCCATACTCTCTCAATATAGGTACTCTAACTTGAAGTATCAAAAAAAAAAAAAAAATGCCGGTTGACTAATGCGGACGTTTGATTTGTGTGTTTCAGGTACGCCAGATGCATTGCAACTAAAAATGAAGTGTTTGGACATAGTGCTGGCTGCAGCGCTGGCACTATGTTGCCCCCTCGCGGCGGCCTCGACCCCGGCAGCCGCGTCGCCCTCGCCGCCCCCTGAACAGAGCTCGACCCCCACGGTTCTCCCCCACGACCTCCACCCCGGCTACAGCGTCGAGAAGTTCGACACCCGCGACCAGTTCCTCAACTTCCGACTCCTCGAGACCGGCTTCTCCCAGTTCTTTACCGTCCTCGACAACGGCATGCTCATGACCACCTCGGACCTCACCCCCCTGGTCAACCGCCCGGTCAAGCTCGTCGTCCTCGAGGAGTCGCCCAACTCGACCGCGGTCCACACCCTCCAGCTCTACGTCATGGACCGCCACGACATGATCGCCTTCCCGGTCCCCTCCTACGACGCCGCTCACGTCCCCGAGAACGAGCCGCCCAACACCCGCGTCCTGGGCATCCCCCCGCTCCAGGCCACCGGCCACACCCACGGACCCGTCAAGTACTCGATCGTCGCCGGCAACACCAACGACTCCTTCCGACTCCGCCAGGTCAAGATCCCCGCCTTCAACGACAGCGCCTACGGCGTCCAACTCGTCACCTCGCGCCCCCTCGACCGCGAGACCCAGGCCGCGTACACCCTCACCGTCCAGGCGACCGACGCTCGCGGCATCGACACCGCCACCGTCCAGGTCCACGTCGATGTCGAAGATGTCAACGATAACGCCCCCGTGTTCTCGCAGAAGGTCTACCGCTTCGTCGTCGGGGGCGCCCCCGCCAAGGCGACGACCCTCGACGAGCCCGCGGCGCCTATCAAGCGCTTCGCCGCCGTCGGGCGCGTCTCGGCGACGGACGCCGACGGCGACCGGGTCGCCTACCGCATGGCCGTCCCCTCCAAGTACATCGTCATCGTCCCGCAGACCGGGGACCTCATCCTCGCCACGGAACCCACCTCCGACTCGGGCGGTCTCGAGTGCGAGTTGACGATCGAGGCCCACGATCTGAGGACCCCGACCAGGTTCTCCCGGCACCCGGCCCAGGTCTGGGTCGAGTTCAACATCCCCTCGTTGGAGGACGAAGAGGAGCTCCAGTTGGGCAACGTGACGCATCACATCGAGAAGCGCCGCGTGACGCGTGCCGTGCGTCCGACCAAGAGGATCGAGTTCTCCGAAGCTGATGGCGCCGCTGAAGGCTGCGTCTTTCAGCTGGAGAAGGAAACCGAGCGGGAGAGTTTCAAAATCCGCGATGAGAATCAGTGGGTTCACGTCGAAGCTAACGGAACGGTGTGTGTTAAGAAAAAGTGGGACTACGAGGAGCTCGGCCAGGAGAAAACCATCGACTTCTGGGTCACCATCACTAACTCTGGAAATAATGGTGAGTCGCCTTTCAGTTTCATCGTCCGAGTTTTAACTTTTTATGAATGAACCGAATGATCGTGCACGACATTATGACGAAACAACTCATTTGGTATGGTCATGTCCAGAGAATGGCAGGAGACAGGTTGCCGAAGAAGGTCCTTGACTGGGTTCCTCCTGGAAGAAGACGCAGAGGGCGCCCAATGAAAGGTTGGAGGGAAGGGATTGAAGCGGAAATGTTAAGGTGCTCAAACCCCCAAGATTTGTGGTTTGAAAGAGAGCAGTGGAGGTTAGGAGTTGTAGAGCGCGAGGGAGTGCTTTAAAGCGACTTATATATGTATGTATGAATGAACCGTCGTTTTTCAGCCAAAGAAATATCGACGGCGTAAGTCCGCAATCACGTATCTCGTTTGCGGTGTCTGGAAATATCCGCCTCTGCGTTATCTTTTTTAAAGGAGAACAAATTGACACCATTCCTTGATGTTTTTGCAGAATTTTCTTCGCACGGAGAGGAAAAATCACGGCAGTTTTTTGAAGCATTGCCGTTGAGTTTCTTCCGTTTAAAATATCAGGTATGACAGGAAGTCTGCGTCGTCGCAAACCGAGTTATGTGATTGCTGACTTACGCCGTCGATTTATCTCCTTCCTGAGGTTGCAACATTCCTTCAATAAATAAATTATTTAACAAGAAAGACTGCAATTTTTCCGAATCTTGTCTAATTTTTGCGTCTCATCGGAGGCCGTCCATGAGTTACGTCACCAGTCCGGAGGGAAGGGGAGATTAGGTCCGGAGGTGAGTTACATGTAGTTGAAAAAGGGGGAGGAGGAGATCAACAATTTGGGGAAATGGTTAACGTTTAATTTATGGACGACTCTTCAACAGAAAAATCATTGACATTTTCATTTAGGAATGACCAACAGATTCCAAGTAAAATTGCTATTTGCAAGTAAAAATTGTGCAATGGTGACATTTTGCTAGGCTCTTTCGTCTGGGAAGCGACCAAATGATATATTGTGCATACTGTAAAAGCGCATAAAAAGAGCTTTCATATGAGACCAAGATTAGGCTGGAGCTGAAATTAGAGCTCAGGTTACAGCGGTTCAATGTCCCCGAGATGGGAAGTTTTTACCCCAACGTTGAACTCCCGTTCCTCTGGTTCTTGGTATTTGAGCCAGGAAGCTGAAATTTGACGTATGTACCATGTACCATTTTTCAATAGTAATAACAACGTCACTAAGTTTCATCTAGATCGGCGGTGTTGAAAATTCACCTTTTTCATGATTGAAAATCTATCGATTAGAATGACCCTGTAGTAGAAACTCAATTATCTGAGATCCGAAGTATCTGCAATTATTCAGGCTTTATAGGAAGCAGCATCAGAGGTCTAATTAGAGGTGCCATTTCGGCTGAATCTCATTTAAACATATTTCCAGAAAAACATCAAAAGTAATGGATTCTCTCTTAGAACGAAGGGTACATATTTTGCCCAGTCCGGCAACTCTGTCTGGTCGGTGGTCGCGGGTACTGTTGNGGGGGGGGGGGGGGGGGGGGCACGAGGGCGTGACACGGAAGGCTAGGGCGCAGAGCAGGAAATCATGTGACACCCCTCTCTATGACGCGGAAACAACGTCGCGGCAATCTCGCATGAAATGCACGTGTCTGCAATTCTGCATTCAATACAGACCAACTCTTTTCCATTTGAATTTAAATTAAAGTTTAAATACACTGGAATGCGGATTGTCGTCTTACGGATCTGGCCATCTGCGAATTTTTCCAGAATTGAGGTACTGTCTCCATAAAATTAGAGAGAAAGAAGAAGAAAGTGGCTGCAAGAAAAGGAGCAAATCTTGATCGTAGAAAAAAACCTGTAAATTTCTTGTGATTTAATTTACGTAATGTCAGGGGGCTGTGCTTCCTGACCGCTTGACGGTTCAACCCCCCCCCCCCTCTCCTCAGCTTACATTATACTAATGACCGTTTCGATGATAGATTCATCATCATACTAATAATACTAAGATATAAAATAGGGGAATAATATTGACACTAGGGTGGTATGTTGGCTTGGATAAAAGACGTGTATAAAAAAATTTAAAAAAAAAAAAAACAAAAAAAACGACATTTTATACGTCTTTCGTCCTTTAGCACCACCAAAATTCCCAAATTTCAGTAGTTTTTATGATGTTACAAGGTAAAGTGCTTGTTCTAAATTGTTTCCCCGGGTAAGCCGGCAATTTTATTCTTAAACAGTAACGCTGATCTCCCATTTTTTGTGGAACTAAAAAGAACTGTTTTAAAATGAACCTGTTGAAAAATCTGTTTTTAGTGGATGAGTAGTCGATAAATCACGTGGAACACACTTACAATGATCCAAGCTCTAAAAGTTCTAATAAATATGCAACAACGAGCAGCGATAAGGGCTCCCTAATTATTTTTTTCAATCGAAGTTTTATCAATCGACGGGTTGATTTATTTGATCGTGTGCTGTCACCGACAATTATTCAACCGTGGTTTTATTTTTAAGTGATGAAACAGATTGATAAGTCCTCAACGAAGTCCAGTCGCAGGTGCATCAAGATGACACTAGTTGAAACCTCGTATCTGCACTGTGACGTTGCATTGTTTCCATTCACTCCCCGTCTGTTGTAAGGTTAATTAGTCTATAAATACGCGGTATGCTATGCACTTTTTATTCGTCAGAAGTACAAACTATATTTCGGAAGTAGCAAGCAATAATTTGAGAAGATGTTGCTGTTCATAGAAAAAGAGAGAGAGAGAAAAACGGAATGCAAGTGAGAAACGCCGTAATGGTGATACATGCTTTTTGACTTGAACTATCGACAAGTGTCTTCGTTTTTTCACCCTAGACTCGTGTCGCCAATTAAAATTTTACCGGAGCTTAAGTCTAGTTCGACGCGCAGTGAACCAAATTCCTTATCAGAGCTGCCAAAAATAAAACTCTCTAAAGTCAAACTTCTCAAGATTAATTTTCTTATTACCAGATTTTGTTGTGTGTTTTTTGTGTGTGCAAATTACCGTATATCAGACGAATTTCAACCATAATTTTAAAATAATGCCAAAATAGGCAGAATGATATCAATAGCAATAGTATGGGAAAAATGTTTTAAAATTATATTCATACATTTTCATGACGATATTCGTACAGAAACGTTTGAAAAATGCTCTCAAGTGAATATTAAAAAAATCACTCTTTAACATGCCTCCAACTATAATACAGTCTAGTATATTATAAACAATTTGTTTACCATTTCCCAAAAGAAAAAAAAAGTTTCAAATATTGTCGTCAAGATCTCTAGTGTTATAGCAACCCCTCAATACTTTTTTACATTATTTTTTATATATTTTTTTTTGTCAGATATACTTGTACGGCACGCTTATAAAAAGTTGTCTAGGTATTTCGCTGAAAAGCATTCTAAATTCAGGTGCAAAATATATCCCGAACAATGAGGCATTAAAATTTTTTGAAATTTATACAATCATTCATTTTACTTTAAGATTCTTCCTACCATTCTATTTAATATTTTAATTTTTCAAAGTTTACAATTTTTTATTTGAAAGTTTTTTCATTTTTGATCCCTGTCCGCCGAGTGGCGACTATGAGAGGCAGAATGCGCGGCATCCGAGGCGCGCTAGGAAAAAAACGGTTTTTCTCGTTCCAAAATCCCGGCTTCGCATTGAAGCTCATTCAATTATCATCGCTGTCCACTCCCAAGTCCGAAGCCTCCCAGGCCTGACAGGTCTTTAAAATGTAATAGTCGCTCTCGATTTATTTAGGTTTCCTGTTTTGTGAGCTGTAAGCACTCTGCTCTTAAGATAGACCCCCGCTCGCTTTTATGCGGCGGCCTCCTATGAATCTCGAAATTTAGTACCGCTCACAAAATTATACTCGGATCCTCGTTTTTAGCTTAAATTAAGTTATCTTTATTCTTTGAACTTTCTTTATCGTCCGATTTGAATGGCAGAGAACCGTGATTGTTTCCTTTCTCGAGTAAGCACCCTTGTCGATTATTAACTGGTTCACATCATTATGTTCACGGAGGTTCTCCCAGAATTCCTTTAAACGATCCCCAACAAACCTCTGAGGAAAGGTACTGCGTGAACTTATGGGATAGAGATAATTTTCGGTTTCCTCTCGGTTCCTCTTCGCTGTTGATTCATAATATGATCTACCGAAAGAAAATAACTGAAGGCAACCATGAACTAAAGTACCTTTATAGGGAAATTATGGACTAGTTGAAATATTGAGTCCGTATGGCCCAAAACGGCAGCCAACTTTCTAACACGAAAAGCACTAGAAAAATGCTGCCACCAATCTTCCGATTCCGCTTTCGAAGCAAGATGACCAAAAACGCCTACAAATGAGTGTCCTTCCTCAAAAATGAATATTTAAATCTAAATTCATCCAGAAACTGAGTCAAATTGCCATGCTATAAGGAAGTGCGCCGTATGAACATTCGAGAGTTGCCAAATTTCTTTTGATAAAATTATTATTTTTGAGGGAAAAAATGAATATTCTTCCTTGAAATTTTCAGCAACTTCAGATCAAAATACGAACAAATTCACTGAAAAATTGGAAGAAAAATATTCATAAGTTTACCAGGGAATTCGTATCTTATCAAAAAAAAATTTTGCAGCGTCTGAAGCACATATGGCGTTTTTCCCCAGCACGGCAGAATACTCGCTTCACAGACGATGTATCGTGACAATGGACCACTAGACAAGGTACGAATTAAAGGATTCTGATACATGTTTCTTAACCAGAATTTCACGTAGAGCACGATTCGCGCAACGAAAACTAATGAAACAAACCTCAAACGAAGATATTAACATTTTTATTTCACATTGGTTACGAGGAATTTGAACTGCCCGCTCACAAGAAACTCAAAGCTCTACGTGAGTCAAATCGCGCACTACAACGGTTTCAACAAGCTTCTCAATCGAGTAATGCTCATTTCCCACCTTGTATTGTTCGAACTATAAGGAATTTGCTACAGCTGAGC